CACTCCCTCCACCACCAACACTCAGTAGCAGTAGTGTGTATTATCTGCAAGATGCACTGCAGAAATTCACCAAAGATCCTTAGACAGCAACTTCCAAACCCACGACCACTTCCTCCTAGAAGGACAAGGGCATCAGTTTCATGGGAACACCACCACCTTCAAGTTCCCCTCCAAGCCACTCACCATCCTGACTTGGAAATATACCACAGTTCCTTCACTATGGCTGGGTCAAAATCTTGGAATTTCCTCCCTAATGGAATTGTGGATCAACCCACAGCAGGTGGACTGCTGGTTCAAGAAGGCAGCTCACCACCACCTTCTCAAGGACAGCTAGGGATGGGCAAGAAATGCTGGCCAGCCAGCGACGCCCACGTTCCACAAATGAATAGAAAAAGAAAAGTCAGATATTTAAAAGCTTGGTAGCATGTCCACAGATTGCTGATCAATATGGGAATCAGGGGTTGTGGGGATAAGGCAGGAAAGTGGAGTTAAGGATTATCTGATTGGCTATGATCTCTTTTGATGGTGGAAGACTTGATGGGCTAAATGGCCTACTTCTGCTCCTATGTCTGATGTCTTTATGCACCTCCATAGCTCAGGCCCTGTCACAACATGGGCTGCTTTCAGCACAGCCAACCCATTTTCATCCACGTATGCTCCCCATTATTAGCATTTCTTTCTCCCTGGCATACTATCATCCATCCCTTTGTTCTGCCAACTTTTGTTTTGTCTGCCTATCTGCACATACTTTTATGCTTATTGCCCACCAAAATACCAGCTTCAGCTTATCTACCACTTTTCATTAACCTCACCTCAGCCTTTTAGCTTCTCTTTCCATTCCCTTTTAGTGCATGTAGTTTCGAAAGTAACTCAGCTTATTGTTTGAAGTGGTGAGCTCCACATCACAATAACACTGAGGAAAGACGTTTCTCCTTATTTCCCTGCAATCATGGTTTTTCATTTTGGATCTTGCCCTCAAGTAGAAACATTATCTCCAGGTCTGTAAGGTCTAACCTCGTATACTGGGCATAAAAATGAAGATCACAAGATCTAAGCACAAGTTACAACTTACATCCAAAATTGACTGGCTGGCTGGAAGCAATGAATGATGGTCAATGGGTGTTTGTTTATGTGACAAGATGGTTGTTTCCAGTGAGGTTGCACTGGGCTCAATCAATAACTCCAGAATTATATCCTTGATGCAGATGAGATGTAGGGACACGAATAGAAATTTTCAGATCATACAAAGATGCGCAAGTGCTCAATAGTAAGGATGAAAGCTGTAGGTCACAGGAAATTAACAATGGACTTTTCAGGACATGGGAAATAGGAGTAGGATTAGGCCATTTGGTCCATTGAACATGCTGCACCATCCAATAAATTCATTACTGATCTCATTGTTTGTCCCTTTTTGATGAAAAATCTGTTCCTCAGCCTTGAATATTTTCAATGACCCAGTCTGCACTGCTCTCTCACCAAACACACACAAGCTTTTTGAGAACGAATTCCTTTCATCTGTCTCAAACCAAAGACTTAAATCTTAAACAGAGTTTCCCTGTTCAAAACTCCCCCAAAAGAGATAACATCCTCTCAGCAGTTAATCTGTCAGGTCCCATCAGAAGTTTACATGTGTTTATGAGATGAGATCACCACTTATTTTTCTAAACTCCAAGAGATATAAACTCAAATATTTTCTCGTATAATAATCCTGTCATCCGAAGCATTGGCCTTTGAAACCTCTTTTGAATGGTTCCCAATGCAAGTATAGCCCTCCTTAAGGAAGGAGATTAGAACTCTTGTTAGGACTGTGACAGGAGGAATGTGCTGGTAATCAGTTACAGTACAGACCCATAACACCACCAGTAACACTGTGGAGATGCATTGAATTGTTCACCAAAACAGCCAATTAGTTCCTAACTGTACAACTATGCAGAACAAACGAGACTTTCACCAGACTTCTTTTAAACAAAAATTCAAAATAATCCATTTATTATAAACCAGAACTCACTCTTAAAACTTATAGCAAACTCTGGTTAACATCTGAGCTTTAATCTGGAATAAGAACTATATTCCCTTAAAGAAACACTCACACAACACAAAGGACACTGCAGATATTAGTACTTTAAAAAAAGAGCTAAGGGTCTGGAAAGAAAGGATAGAAGGCTGTTGACTTGCTCACCGAGCTGGCTTGTTTTTGTTCAGACATTTTGTCACCATGCTAGGTGACATCATCAGTGGACCCTCCGATGAAGTGATGTTATTCTACTCCCCTTGGAATTTATACTGTCTGGTCTGTTATGGTGAGTACTGTCATTTCCAGTTTTGATCTGTATGGGTTTATACATGGGGTCCAATTCTATATGTTTGTTGATTGAAGTATGGGTGGAGAACCATGCCTCTAGGAATTCCCATGCATGTCTATGTTTGGCTTGGGCTACTATGGTAAATTTGTCCCAGTTAAACTGATGGCCTTCATTGTCTGAATGTACAGATATTAAGGAGAGTTCATCATGCTGTTTTGCTGCTAACTGATGTTTGTTTATTCTGATGACTAGTTTCCTTCTTCTCTGTCTGATGTAATGTTTGTGGCAGTTGTTGCATGGTAGTTTGTAAACCATGTTCATTCTAAACGTTGTGGGAATGGGGTCTTTAATCCTTGTAAGTGTTTGTCGTAGAGTGGCTATGGGCCACCATGATTCCTAGTGGTCTTAGGAATCTTGGTTGTCAGTTTCCATATGTTCCAGGAACATATTGAAGACTTGCTGAAAATCCAAATACACAACATGTCTACTTTCTTCACCCTCCTTGTCACATCTAAGAGGTCAAAGTTCCTCATTCTTCTTGGAGGTGAGGATGGAGGAAATAGGAGAGAGGGAAAGCCCCTCATAAGGAAATAACTTATGTTAGAAATATTATTGACCAGACGCTTGTACACAAATCACAGAAAGCTAACGTGATGGTCCCACCAAATATTAGGGGACAACTAATGGGTTGCTCGATTTTCCCAGGAGAAGTGACTAGGGAACTGAGGAAGTCTTGCTGCGGTTGTACAGGGGACATGCTCACCATGAATCAACTCAACAAAGGCTAATGGATGAATGTGGCATTTTACAGATAATCTGGGAAGGGAGAGAGAAACAACATTCACTGACCAAGGGACAGGGAGTGACTTAAGGATATTTGGATTTCCAACAGGTATCAACAGGTCAGTCTTTGATTTAAAAAATTGAACATTCTCTTACTGAAAACGGTTTGGAAGGTAAATTGTAAAGAGAATGTAAGAGGTATTCAAATTGAGTGACGTAGAAGTAGTCAGTAAGTGGGTAAAACATTGTCCAAGGCAATACAAAGAGGAGAGTGTGATGCTTGTCATGTAGAATCAATAAAGAGCTTTTAAATGGGATTTGGTGCCAGACTCTGAGGTACAGCGGGATCTGGGTATTCTGAGATATGAATCATATGGATTTAGTCTGCAAGGGCAGCAAATGATTAGGAAGTGAAAGGAATTGTACTTTTCTCATTTGTTCACAGGATGAGAGCTTCACTAGTTGGGCTAGTATTTATCCTGCATTCCAATCATCCCTTGAGAAGGTGGGAATGAGCTGTCTTATTGAACCATTGCACTTCACAAAATTAACATTTTTGGAAAAACAAAATATCATAGAAATTAAACTGCAGCTCTCTTTTTCCTGGCTCCCAGTTTAACATTCAACAATTCAGTTTCTACTGAGTTAGAGACTGGAATCTCATTGATGGTCTGTGCGTTTCTATATTGCATAACACAAATGGGGAATGAGTTGCAAACTGGAATCTAATTGAGGGGATCAGGGGTTTTATATAGAGCATAACATGTGCTGGGGAGTAAGTTACAATCTGAAACATAATTAAGGGATTTAGGGGTAATTTATATACAGAGTAACAGATACCAAGGATTGTGTTACAGATTGGAATGTATTCAAAGGGTTCGGGGTGGTTGAAAAATTGGGATGTGGGGTACAAACAGGTGTAAAATTGGGGCTGTGTGATTGAAAGGTGGCAAAAAAAAAAGGGAGGGTGTAAAAACAGGGGGAAGTAGTGGCATAAAATGTGGAGTGGGTGTAAATTGGGAATGGTCACACATTTGGGGCACAGATAATATTTTGGGGCATCAAAAATTTGGAGGGGGGGAAAAAGATACAAGATGTTCGGGGTGAAAAATCTGAGGGGGGGAAGCAACTTGGGGGAGGTGCAAAATTTGGTGGAACTTGAGGCTTGCATAATATTGGGGTGGGGGGGTCAGAGCTGCATGATTGGGGTGGATACAACATTTGGGAAGCTCTGCAAAATTGTGGAAGGTCTGTAAAACCTTGGTGGGGGTGTCTGCAGAGAGATGGTGAAAAGAAGAAGGGGGACTGAGAAATGGATACTCATCATTCCATTGGATCCCAGCTCTCACTGGTTGCTCACAATCCCCCTCTCCCATGAGGATCAGACTCTAGTCCAGAGTCTGCTTCAGTCTAGGTGGTTCAGCAAGGTGTGGGAGATGAGATTGATGTTAGCGATCAAAACTGGCATTGAGCTTCCAAGTACCCTCAGACTCAGACATACGCACACACACCTCTTGCTCTGTCCACATGGCAAAAGGAACTATGGCTACCAGGACCGACCATGAGAGAGAAAGCAGCAGCTCAGTAGGTTAGTCTGTCCCTCTCATCGTGCACCTGCCACCAACTGGCCATGGACCTAAAATCCACACAGAGACAAAGCTGCAGTTTCAAACCAGCAGCAGCCAGAGCACAGGGTCATTTAGACATAAAACACAGGCTTCTGCAACCAATAAACACAAATTTATTCCACAAAGGGAACACAAGATTTTCTCACATAATCAACACAAGGTTGAAACGAACAAGTCAGCAAGTTTGCTTTTAATGAGTTTGAGAATTGTACAGATGAATCAATCCATTTTACAATGGAAGAGTGATTAGAGATGTATTGTACAAATTAACTCATTTCTTGCCCAAATGAACTTGGGTTTAATAAACAAATAAACCCCGACTATATACCCAGCGACATTGTATCTGTGGACATGTTTGTGAAAGTCTGTGTGTGCCAGTTATTCTGTGTCTCACTCTATCTGTATGTGTATTTTTGTCTCAGTGCGTCTGTTTTTCTGTGTGTTGGTGTGACCAGCTCTGCCTTCAGTAGGACACACTTGGTCCTGGAGGGAAGTTTGAGTGTGCCTGAGTTTGCTGTGTGTCTGTGTATGTAACCAACTCTGTCTGCAATGGGACACGCTGTCCCAGAAATATGGGTATGATAGTCTGCATGTTTCTATGAATTGGATTTTGGGCCTGTATGTGTCAATGTGTGTGTGTTTGCCCATGTCTGCTTGCAATAGGACACACTTTTGAATGAATTAAAATGTGATGAATCAAAGTCACAGTCTCTCTCTATCCCTCTGGTGTTTAAAGTGATACAATGCCATCTCCTGCTGGCCTGCCCCCGTCACATCATAAGCACCACATATTTCCCTGTTCCACTGCATCTGCTTGCTGGTTCAGGGAGATCAAAGTTTTAAGAACAACAGGAACAGATGCCTGCCCTGCAGTCACTTGTGAACTTGCTGGTGTCTCAGCAGGTGGAATGACTGAGTAAATCCTTTCCCACAGATGGAGCAGGTAACAACTTCCCACCAGTGTGTATTCGTTGGTGTCTCAGAAGGTTTTTTGAATGGACAAATTGTTTCCCACACTCAGTGCAGGGGAATGGCTTCTCCCCAGAGTGAATGCGTTGGTGAGTCAGCATTTCACGTCTGCGTTTAAAGCTCTTCTCACACTGCGAACATTTGAACGGTCTCTCATCAGTGTGAACTAGTTGGTGCGCCCGGAGGTTGGCTAACTGAGAGAATGCCTTACCACACTCAGAGCATGGGAATGGCCTTGCCCCAGTGTGAACTCGCTGGTGTGTCAGCAGGTAGGATGAGTCACTGAATCCCTTCCCACACTCAGGGCAGATGAATGGTCTCTCCTGCGTGTGAACTCGCTGGTGTCTCAGCAGGTGGGCTGACCGAGTAAATCCCTTCCCACACTCGGGGCAGATGAATGGCCGCTCCCCAGTGTGAACTCGCTGGTGTCTCCACAGGGTGGAGGAGTCACTGAATCCCTTTCCACACTCAGGGCAGACGAATGGCCTCTCCCCGGTGTGAGTGCGTTCGTGTTTCTCAAGGTCAGATGATTGAGTGAATCCCTTTCCACACTGGGGGCAGATAAATGGCCTCTCCCCAGTGTGACTGCGTCGATGAGTTTCCAGCATGGATGGGCACTTGAATCCCTTCCCACAGTCCACACATTTCCATGGCTTCTCTGTGGTGCAAGTGTCCTCATGTCTCTCCATATTGGATGATCAACTGACTCCTTGTCCGTACACAGGACAGGGATACAGAGTTTCTCCCCACTGTGATGTTATTCAGGCTGTGTAACTGGCTCAAGACCTGTCCAGTCAGTTCACTGGAACACTCACTTGGGTGGATGTGTCTTTGTGCATTTCCTCTCACACTGACATTTGAAATCTTTTCCCAGAGACAAAATAGACAAACATTGACAACCACTGGTTTTCAAGTCCTGATGAATTGACTCACTTTCAGATCTTGACAGGATGTTTGTTTGGAATTCTTGCTAATGAATGTGCCTCTGATTCTCTGTAAAATGAATTAAAATCAGGAAAGGGTGAGTATGAGAAAAGAAAAGAACTGTTTAAGACACTAAAGGAGGTTGTAAAATGGAGTTCATTGAATCTCGTAACTTGTGTGAAAGACACACAGAAAACACTGACCATGAAAAGTTACTGGATTGTCATAAAGATTGAACTAGTTCACTAATGTCCTTCAAAGGACCCACTGCCTGTCCTGGACATCCACAAGACTCAGGCCTCAATGGGAGGAGAGACAATGAGAGCAGTGGGATACTTAAGGGCACAGTTTCTTCCACCTACAGTTAAAGGAATAACACTGATGTCTTCTCCTTCCAAGAAGGAGAAGTCAAGTGTGAATGCTGAACCATCACCTACAAATCCCCCTCTCAGACACACACTGTCTTCTTATGGATACACGTTGCTGTTTCTTTATAACATGTGTCTGACAATCTTGTAACTCCTTACTGAACAGCACTGTGGGAGAACTGTCACAGCAGCACAGCAGCAAATGCTGGCCTCTTTAATCTTGCTCAATAAAATTAGATGTAAATTAGATTAAAACTATTTTTGAGGATTTTTCTTCTTTATTGCAAAAATATACTTTCATAGAAGAAATCTTTATGTACATTGGCTTCATGAAGCCAATCAGATCTATACTTAGAGAAGAAAACAAACATCGATGTTCACCTTTCTCAAAATTTACAATTAAACTCTTGGCATTTAGCTGAGGCATTGACAGGGTCCAATTACTAAGTGCACTTTATTATGCTTAGGCGGAAGGACCTTACATGGTGGTCTTTTCCCACTGCATCTTGGCAGCAGCTACCCCAAACTTTAGTCCGTCCCTTAGCACGTAGTCCTGGACCTTGGAATATACCAGTCTTCAACACTCAGTCACGGTCAACTCTTTCAACTGTAAGACCAGCAAGTTTCAGGCAGACCAAAGAGGATTGTTCACTAAGCTGATGGTCCTGCTGGCACAGTTGATGTTTATTTCGGTGTGTGCGCCAGGGAATAGACCATAGAACTCAAGAGTTCCGCATCACGGAGCTGCTCAGGACAAACCGTGTCAAAACCACTGCATCTCTCTCCAGAATTCCCTTGCATAGGCACATTCCAGAAGGAGGTGTGACAGTCTCATCCCCTCCACAGCCACTTCGAGGACAGCGTGCAATGGCACAGAGAGAGCAGGTATGCATGAAGGATCTCACAGGCAGAACTCTTCTCACCACCAGCCAAGAAAGTTCTTGTGACCAAGCATTCTGCCAAATGACTTTAGAACTATCCTGGAGAAATACCTCTTCCTAAAACAAGCTCCTGGACTTTGAACAGACACCTTTAGTTTAGCAACTAATCCTGAGAACACTTCCATGAAAGCCTCGCATTCGAAGTTATTGGAGCCGGTCAGTCCCAGCAGCGCTAGGGGTTAAACCCAACAGCTTGTCCTCGCTACAACAACCCCTACAACAGACACAAGAATGTTCGGCAGCGGGAATCCTGCCAGAAAGTGAAAATGCTACAAATCCTCAGCAGCATCTGAGAAAGAGAATGCAAATTCCAGCTCACTGACCTTCAATATCTAGCCGCTCGAAAGCTTCTCCTTTCCAGTCCAGGAGAGACAAACGTTTCTGTTGGTTTGAGTCTACTGGGTGTAAATCCTTTCACTCTAATCCTGTGTAAAAGGAGCTTCCCGGGGCTCAGCACTTGGCCAGGTATAAACAGCTTCCACCAGGTTATTCCTGAAACCGCCCAGTCCCTCTCTCTATATATCTCGCTCTCTCTCCTTTCGCTCTCAGCCAACCACCTCGTTCCGGCACAGGTACCGTCACTGCGCATGATCTATAAGCAGCTCGGGCCCACCCTTCATTCATTCTGATTGGTTCAAGGACCAGAGGGTCCCTGATAAAGCCTTGCGCCGCCCCTCTTTCTATTGGCCAGAACATGCGTCAATCACCCAGGAGCCTGAACATGCGCAGCGCGGGTATGACCGCATTGTATAGCCGCATTTTCAATTGTGGAAATTTGTTAAAAGGAGAAGAATTATCCCAGAGCTCATTTGTATTTCAGCTCAGGAAAGAGGGAAGAGTTTTTTTTTTAATTTATTGATATGCGGCTAATCTCTGATCAGGCCAGTATTTATTGTCAATCCCTGATTGTCCAGAGGGCGGTGAGGAGTCAACCAAGTTGTTGTGGGTCGGGAGTCACATATAGGTCAGCAGGGAAAGGAGGCAGATTTCCTTCCTCACAGCAGTGGGATTTTACAAGAATTGACAGAGAGTCCAGCTTTTTATTACAGATTTTTAATGACTTAAATTTTCATCCCCCATCTGACCTGGTGGGATTTGAACACATCTCCCATAACAATAGCTTGGGGTAATGGATGACTAGACCAGTTACATTGAGACAAGGCCACCGCCTCCTGGGACAAGAATTTCCAGCTTTGGTGAACAAGAGGCCACAATGTTCCAGAGAAACTGGAATGATATATTCAGAATTTCTATCCTGAACTGACAGAAATGACTTTTGTAAACCTCCCTTGTAGGATTTTAGGGGGAAGATTTACATGTGAAAAGAAACATAATCATCCATAAGTCTGTGTGTAGGTGATGCTTACATTGATTATTCGTCCTGGACAGACTCAAGGACACCAACACCATGAAGAAATCATGGAAATGTGGACACTGTGGGAAGAAATGTAATTACCCATCCCAGTTGGAAATTCATTGATGCAGAAAGAGACTGTTTACCTGCTCTACATGGGAAGGACTTCAGTGTGTTATCCATGTCCGAGAAACACCTGCCTATTCACAGTAAGGAGGAGCCGTTCTGCTGCACTTCCTTTGGAAAGAGTTTCAGTCAACCAACCTCACTACACACCAACGAGCTCACACTGGGGAGAGGCTGTTTATCTGCCCTGTGTTTGGGAAGGGATTTGCTCAGACATCAAACTTACTGGAACACCAGCAGGTTCAGACTGGAGAGAAATTGTTTACCTGCTGTGACCGTGGGAAGGGATTCGTTTGGTTCCACAATCTGCTCATACATCAACACATTCATACTGGTGAGAGTGTGGAAAAGAATTCACTCAGTCTGTTCATCTGCTGACCCATCACTGAGTTCCCACTAGGGAGAGACTATTCATCTGCTCCGAGTGTGATAAGAGAGACACTCAGTTTTCCCAACTGCTGAGCTATTCCAGTATAGTTACAACACTGGCATCTACCCAACAATCTGGAAAATTGCCAGAATATGTCTTGTAGACAAATAGCAGGACAAATCCAACCCGGCCATTAATTGCCCTATCAGTACACTCTCGAACATCAGTAAAACGATGAAAGGTGTCGTCAACAGTGTTAATTGAGTAGCACCTGCTCAGCTATAACCTGCTCAGTGACACCCAGTTTGGGTTCTGCCAGGGCCACCAGATACTTTCCAGCCTTGGTTCAAACATGGACAAAGGGGCTGAATCCCAGATGTGAGGAGAGAGTGACAGCCGTTGACATCAAGGCCACATTCAACCGAGTGTGGCATCAGGGCACTTTGATTAGATTCCAGTCTATTACTCACTCTCAGGTATGTTATTCTATTTATAATCATCCCGGACCCCTTGATTAGATCCCAGTCTGTAACTCCTTCCTGGGAATCTGTTCCTCCCCAACCCCTTGGTTAGATTCCAGTCTAACTCACTCCCAGGTTACTGTTACTCTGAGTGTCAGTGAGTGTGAGCGATTCTGTGAGTGCATGTGCGAGAGAGTGAAGGAGTGTTTGTGAGAGTGTGAAAGTGAGAGTTTGGTGAGTGAGAGTGTGAGAGATGAGGGTTTGAAGTGTGAGAGTGAGAGTGTGTGTGTCTAAATCTGGATGAGTGTGTGAGAGGGTGTAAAAGAATAAGTGTCTGAATGTGCATGTGTGTCAGTGTGAGATGAGTGAGTGTGAAATTGTAAGTGTGTGTATGCAGACATGTTAGATTACTTGTGCTTCCCGTAACCCTTGATCCCTTTGCTGTTTATCACTCTACAGATGCTGTCAGATCTGCTGAACTTTTCCAATGTTCTCTGTGTTTGTGTCAGATTTCCAGCATCTGCAGCATTTTGCTTTCAATGGAATATTGTAAACAGTTTTGGATCCCAGATCTAAGGATGTCAATCCTTATGGGACAGTCTCGAACCAGAGGGCATAGCCACAGAATAAAGGTCCTCCAATTTAAGACAGAAATAAGGAGGAATTCTTCTCTCAAAGGGTAGTGAATCTCTCATAGAGGGCTGTTGTGGTTAGGTCATTAAGTTTATTTAAGGCTTCTATAGACAAATTTTTAATCAACACGGGAATCAAGGGTTATGGGGAAAAAATCTGAAATGTGGAGCTGACAATTATCAGATCAGCCATGATTTTGTTGAATGGCAGAATAGACTCGATGGGCTGAATGGACCAGTTCAGCTCCTAAGTTTTGTGGTACCAATGATGTGGAGTAATATTAGGAAACTCATCTTGAGCTCAAACATGACATGAACGCAGAACAGTGCTGTCCAGCTCAAACAGTTCCCAGGGTGGTGTGAGTATGGAACGAGCTACCAGAGGAAGTGGTGGAGGCTGGTGCAATTGCAGCATTTAAAAGATATCTGGATGGGTATATGAATGGAAAGGGATTAGAGGGATATGGTTCAAATGCTGGGAAATAGGACTAGATCAGTTTGGGATGTCTGGTTGGTGTGGTCAAGTTGGACTAAAGTGCCTGTTTCTGAGCTGTATGACTCTATCAAAGGGATGGACTCAGTAGTTAGGGAATGGAATTCGCAGTGTCAACCAAGGACAATGGCTTGGTCTTTCTGAGTTTTAAATTGAAGGAAATGTCTGGTTAACCAGTACTGGATGCGAAATGAGCAATCTGATAATTTAACAACAGTGGAGGAATGGAGAGGGATGGGGGTGAGGTAGAACTGGGGGTTGTCAGTGTACATGTGAAAAACTATGCAGTGCTTTTGAATGGTGTCATATAATGGCAGCATGTCTCATTGAATGGTGGAACAGGCTCAAGGGGCTGAATGACCTGCTCCTATGTAGATGAGAAATAGGAGGGGGTTAAGGATAGATCCTTGAGGAACACCAAAGAGAAAGGAGGTCAGAGATGGGCAGTGGTTTGTGAGGACAGTGAGGTCAAGGGTTACATTTTTTAGGGTGGATAATAAAAGCAGATGCAAAAGAGAGAGGGACAGAATCAGAAGAGAGAGAGAAGAACATTAATAGTATCAGTAAACCTGGGGAAGTTGGATGGTTCGCAGTTCAGTGGGAATAAGATGGATTTCATGAATAGCTGTGATCTGATAGGGTAGCAGGGTGGATAACTTAGTTAATTCCTTCCCACACTCTGCACAGGCAAACGGTCTGTCTCCGAGTTCTCTGATGAGCAAAGAAATTGGAAAATGGAATGAATCCCTTTCCACATTTGGCACAGGTGAACAGCCTTTCCCCATGTGACAGCGCTGGTGAGTCAGCAGGGTGAATGATGGAGAGCTTCCCTTCCTACACTCTGCACAGGGGAACTGTCTCTCTCCAGTGAGACTGCACCAATGAGTTTCCAGCTCAGACAGGCAGTTGAATCTCATTTCAAAGTCTCCGCGTTTTCACAGGTGGCTCAGTGGTTAGCACTGCTGCCTCACAGCACCAGGGACCCGGGATTGAGTCCAGCCTCGGGTGACTGTCTGTGTGGAGTTTGCACATTCTTCCTGTGTCTGGGTGGGTTTCCTCCGGGTGCTCAGGTTTCCTCCCACCGTCCAAAGATGTGCAAACTAGGTGTATTGGCCATGCTAAATTGCCCATAGTGTCTAGGGGTGTTTTGGTTAGGCAGGTTAGGCGGGTTAGGCATGGGAAATTAGGGGAATGGGTTTGGTTGGGATGCTCTTCAGAGGGGCAGTGTGGACTTGTTGGGCCGAATGGCCTGTTTCCACACTGTAGGAATTCTGTGAAATCTACTATGAAGAATCTAATGAGATTCAGATTGCCATAAAATGGATGAATGTCAAATCCTGATGCAATATTTATTCCCAATTTCCTGACTGCAAATTCTCCTTCTAATGTCCTATGAAATTGATTGAAAACAGGAAAGCAAAGAGAATGAGAGAGAGAGACAGATTCCATGAAAACAGGTTGCTAAACTGATTTGAATGAATCCAGCAATTACTGGCCAGGCCAACACAAGATTTTGGCTTAAGTGGAGGAGATGAAAAGAGTGAGAGAGAAATGGAAAGAGCAGAGGGTGAACCTGAGAGATTTTATATGCCCCGAATGGACCAGAGCAGCAGATATATGTGGACATTATCATCACCAAATTCACCTCAAAGTCCCACATCATACTGACCTATGTGATATCCAGTCTCACATGAACAGTAATTTCCTCCGTGTAAATATTCGCAAGACTGGAGCCAATGTCTTTAGTCCCTGCAATGAACTGACTCCATCCTCACCCTGGTATCTATCTGAGGCTGAACAATACTGTTCACAACCAGGCAAATTATTTCGCTTTCAGATGAGTTTTCAATCACATGTTCACCTCATCACCAACAATGCTTATGGTTCAAGGGAGGACTGATTTTATTTGTGAAGTTTTACTACGTTGGAGAAAAGGAGAGTGAGTGATGATTTGAAGGAATTGTACAACTTTGATATTCTAGTGTTAAGCAAATGAGGAAAGTTCATCCTGTTAGCTGATTGTAACAGGACACAGATTTACTGAGGGAAGTGAGGGAGAACTTTTACACCATGACCAGGAACTCAGTTAACACTCAGAGGTGGATATTATCCA